CTCCTGCTGAATGACATAGAAGGTTAGAAAGGAAAAGTCCTCCAGGTGGCAGTAATGTTCTGTTTTTCTCAAATAATGTAAATCACCTAATTAAATTTATACAGATTTAAATAGCCTATGTCCTTAATCACCTTATTAATACTGATACTGATATCTAAAAGTTACCTAAACAGGTTTTGTTTTATATTTTTAGATAAAGCTCAAATCGTTATCATACAGGATTTAAAGCAATTTTAACACTTCATAAAATTCCTTGAGACTATACAAATTAACCATTTCAATGAAAACCTTTTGAGAGTTTCTTTTGGATCTTTATAGTCAGTTTATCACGCACAATGGAAAATTCATCCCTTTATTGGTTCATTTTGTTTTAACTAAATCTAGTACAGTTGACCCTTGAACAACGTGGGGGTCAGGGACGCCAACCCCAGGCCCCAACCCCCTGCCCTGTGCAATGGAAAATCTGCACCAGCCAGATTCAACTTTACAGCCAGCCCTCTGCACCAGAGGATTCAACCCACCATAGACTGTGTAGGACTGCAGTACGTATTAACTGAAAAAAAAAACCCCACATATAAGTGGACCTGTGCAGTTCAAACCCGTATTGCTCAAGGATCAACTGTAAATTCAAGATATTATTTAAATCACATTACTCTTTAGTTTTGCCATATATAGTCTTCCAGGTAAAATTTCACAACCATTCTTGACAAAGTTGAGGAGTACTTGTACAATCAAGTAGCATGAACAGGGATCTCCAAGGTGTAAAGGCCCTGAGCTAGGGTCTGAGGTGACAAAAGGTACACATGAGGCAGACCCTGCCCTACTGTACAACACAAATGAAATATGGTAACTTTTGGAGGGCTTTTAGTAACTAAATTAAAAGTAGATGAAATTAATGTTAAAATAAAACATAAATGGTTATTGTAAATGAAAACTTCTAAGAGTATTTGACGTGTATTCATGTAATCACTGTACATGATGTAAGTTATATAAAACATAATGTGGCAAATGCATGCTGTGGAATAATATGCAGCAAATAAAAAGTGAGGTCGAGCTATATGTATTTACACAAAATTATCTATAAGGCACTTTATAGGTACAAAAAACAAGTCACAGAAAAATATGTACAGCAACCCCCATGTACTTTTAAAAAGAAACTTTACACATACACAGGAATTTTCAGGACATGTATTCACATACTGCCTGAGTACATAAAATAAACAGATTATTTCATTTTTATAATGATTCTTTTAAACCATCCCAGAACATGATTTATGAATCTTGTGGTATTTTTTTTTCCTGAAAATATACCCCTGTCATATTTTAACTCTAACTTCTAAACTCATCTCCACCAAATAATTTCAATTGAAAAAAGCTAGCAAAAAAAAAAGGGGCAGGGGGGGAGGCCTAAGATATAGATCAAAACAAAAAAAAGCAAAGAAATATACATGGCAAAACAAAATGAAAACAAGGTTGATCTACCAATATTCGGTTAAATGTAAATTAAAATAGTATGATACCATTTTTCATCGATAAAATTGCTGTTTTTAATGACAACATCTAGTGTCTACAGGGTTTAATAAAATAGACATTCTCATATATCGCTGATGAAGCTGGAAATGGGCATAACCTTTCCGGAGAGAAATTTAGGCAATATATATGAAGATACTTTTCAAATTTTCTACCATTTGATTCTTTAATTACAATTAAATTCTAGGAATTTATCCTAAGAAAATAATCTGAAATGCACAAAATGATTTAAAAACATTTACCAAACCATTTTGTTTAATAATGGGAACAATATCTGATAATTTAAGAATGCTTGTTCAGTCACAAGAAAAAATACAATACCACATTAAAAAACATGTTTTTTAAAAATAAAAGATATAGGAAAATGAACATGAAATTTTAAGTGAGTGAAGTAAAATATAACTATGCACACATACTAACTCTGGGAGAAGATACACTGTTAACCGTGGCTGTGTCTGGGTGGTGAAACTATACCTGATTGTAATTTTCTTCTTTAAGTCTTACACATATAAAAGAAAGAAGAAAGATGTGATGCTCCCCTGTCTTCTCCTAACTTTTTACCAGGCAATGAAAGAATATGTATCACATATGCTCTATATTTTTACATGTATATTTGTGCAAAATAAATCCTTTTTATATTTTTATGTGTTACCAACTTCAAAACCTAAATTAAAATAGTTTATAACAAATAATTAAAATTACAAAACCATTAAAAAACAAAATAGTAAGAAACAAAGAGGGACTTCCCTGGTGGCGCAGTGGTTAAGAACCCCCCTGCCAATGCAGCAGACACGGGTTCGAGCCCTTGTCTGGGAAGATCCCACATGCCGCGGAGCAACTAAGCCCATGAGCCACAACTACTGAGCCTGTGCTCTAGAGCCCGCAAGCCACATTACTGAAGCCCACGTGCCCTGGGCCCACACGCTGCAACTACTGAAGCCCACATGCTCTAGGGCTCGTGTGCCCCAACTACTGAGCTCGCGTGCTGCAACTACTGAAGCCCGTGTGCCTACAGCCTGCGCTCCACAATAAGAGAAGCCACCGCAATGAGAAGCCCGTGCACCGCAACTAAGAGGAGCCCCTGCTTGCCCCAACTAGAGAAAGCCTGCGCCCAGGAACGAACACCCAACGCAGCCAAAAATAAATAAAATTAAAAAAGAAAAAAAAAAGAAAAAGAAAGAATGAGAACTTAAATAACATAGCTGAGGAAAGCTATCGCAATTAACTGCAGAACAGCCTAAACTTCCAGCCACCAAAGCCAATGTAGAAACAAGATGTGCTACACAACTTTGTCTAATAAGGGGGGAGAAATATGGAGGGTAATGCTCCTTGAGGTATGTCAGACAGTGTGTTCAGCAGACTATACCCTGTGACATAGTTTATTATTCCTTTTTTCAGATGTGATAACTGAGACTGAGGGAGGTTAAGAAATAACTCGTTAAAGATTAAAAATCTAATGACCTCTTACCCAAGATTTATATTAGAATTCAGGTTTTCAAGGTCTACATTCTTTCCACTAACATACTACACCTCAAAAATAAACAAACATAAGCCAGAGGCTATGTTTTTCTGAGTTCAGAGAGAAATTTGGCTGGTAGGCCTTTCCATGAGACAAAAAAATACATAATAAATAGTGATTTCAGTGGTATTCAAAAACATGGAGGTATGTTCATCTGGACCTAGCCTTTCCTAATCATCAATGAAACCCATCTTCTGACTGTCAATTAAACATTAAGAGCAAATGTTAAACTGCAGTTCTGTGGAGACAATTCTACACCAAACTTTACCTATGAGAGCAACAGCTGTCAAAATGACCTCCTTCTAACTCAGTTGGAAAAAATATTCATATCATTTATAAATTTGTCTGAATAAGAATATCATGTTATCTAAATAAGCCCATAGAATTTCTATTTCTAAAGCCAAATGCTTGTCTAAGTTTCTCGTTAAAAAGGAAAAGGTAATTTTTTAAAATGGAAAAACAACTCTGCCAGCACCCAGGAATCTGTTATGATTTCTGCTATGTAATTTTCTTAAAATACATTCACACAAATGTTCATTTGGCACATCAAATCCATAGCTCTTGGGATACTAGAATGTCATAAATGTTTGCTTCCCAGAAACATGCCAGGCCAAAACACTTTTTTCATAGGCTTACTAAAATAATAAACATAAACAACCTTGCTTAGTTTTGACAACATATGAACAGAAGGACAATATTCTAATATTGCCTCCTGCAGACATTAACCAGTCCCATACATGTTACGAGCTCCAATAAAATGCTTATTTTTCAGTTTTTATTTTATGTTCCTTTCCTGACATTGGAATAGCTATATTTCATATTCATTCACTCAAAATTATTTATTGAATCTACAATGTGTTACGCATTGGAGACGCAAAAAGAGAATAAGAAACTGTCATCGTTCTCAAGGAGCTGACAGCTCAGTAGGAAAGAGTCAATCAAACCAATAATTTGTTACGAGACTGTACTACACACTACAGAAAAGACGGCAAGAGAAAGATTTAACTCAGACCAGAAACTCAGACCACAAACTTTGTATACAGGATTGGTGATCTGTTACTCTTAGTTTTAGTCACAATTTTCAGTTGAATCCATATATGTTTTTACAGTCAGCCAACAATAACTTAACAGAAAAATTCATGTGTGGGTCTCTAACTGCAAACTTCTTTTCTAGGAAACTTTTCTTTCAAAAGATTAGTTGTGATACTAAAAACATTCCAATTCGATGCTCAAGGTGCATGCTTAGTTCTGAGTACAGAAATCCAGCACCTGCCTTTCCTTAGAGAGTTGGCTGCTCTGTAGAGCCAACCATCTCTTCACATCAGCTGAGGCTGCAACTTTTCTCATCGTGGTCCATGCACCAATGGGAGAGACCTGTGTGGTGATGGAACAGTTCTGTATCTTGACTGGAGCAGGATGAATAATCAGAAGTAAAAAATAAAAGACAATTGTGAAAAGAAGATAATAAAATTACTAAAAATTTGAAAAATCCACATTTTAAAAAGCAGTCATTTTTTACTTCTATGGCAAACAAACAATGCATCATCACTTCCAAAGAGGGATAATCTCTCAATCATCCCAATTATCAATGTTCCTAAACTCTTGTTTTATGTTTATTTTACTCTTGGATAACAGCTTAGAACCTCATACTTTGTATCATTTTTGAGTCACATTTTTGATTATTGTTTTAACTTTGAAGTTATCTATAATTTTCTTTCCGAGTTATCTCCAAATTAATGAAGAGTTGATTATGTAAAGAAAAACTTACCTTTCAGCTTGAAGCTTCGTGGTTTTTATTATTAAATCTTGAGTCTGTTCCTTTGCTGCCTAAAATTATAAACATATCTATTATCGTACAGTTCAACTTTTTTCAACTTCAGAAAACTAATACTGCCACTTACTGGAGTTCAGACTATAGCAAATGAGATCACACTCCAGAACTCAAAAGTTTAAAAAAGGCCCAAGTAACTGAAACAGATGTTTCAAGGCTCATACACTACGTTTAATAAGAAGAACTCACTCAGAATTCTCAATACACACAGAATGCTAAGGCTTACAAGAAAGAAAAAGGTACCACGATGTTTATTAAGGAATTTAATAGTTCCTGATGCTTCTCAGTGGAACAGAAGCACTGCCAGAGCCAGGTAAGGATGAGGAAGAGGTCTTCAGCTATAGACATGCTGAGCTGAGGTACCAGGAAAACTCTGAATGAAGTTGTAAGTTAAGTCACTGATACGCTGCTGTGGAACTCAACAGAAATACCCAAGATGGAGATAAAAATTTGAGAGCTGGGATATACAAAAAAGAAAACCCTCATATAGGATTTTGGAGAACATTAAAGACAGCCCCATCTAAAGGACAGAGGGCTGTTCCTGGCCAAGTCATACTAAACAATCCTCTCTCTCCCAAACCAGAGCTGAAAGGATCAGGAGTGAAAACGTGATGAAAAGGTATTTCAAGGATTAGGAAAATATTTATAAAGTGAATTGAAACAAATCACAAGTGTAACCAGTGAGATTCTTTCTCAAAGACCTGAACTGGGGAACACTACAAAACTAAGGTAGTTACTAATGAGAAGAGAAACAAGTCAGTGGTTGTGAGGCAAGTAGAAACACAGGGCATTAAATGAGTCGGAAGTATGTAGGTCAATGTTAACTCTACAGCCAAACTAGAGGTTTGGAACTGCTTTAATAAACAGACCTAAACTTATATACATTTTCCTGAGATATTTTTTAGGCTGAACATAAATCATAATTAAGCTGGGTCTTTACTGGGCATAGCATTAGTTTGAAATTATTCCTAAGGCTTTCTACTAAGGAATTTATTTCTGCTGCATTTGTGGAACATTATGGGATTGAAAAGTTTATCAAAATTCTACAGTTATCTCTATACTGGCAAGATCAAAATATAAAGGCTTCTGGAGTTAACTGCACAATATTAGTAAACCATCACCAAAGAGACACAAAGACATTTATAGTTAAAAAAATATAAGCAGAATATTTATATTCAAACTTCCTACAGGGCATGATGTATTAGATATCCACACATTTTGTAGACCTATCTAGCAATTTCTGAAAGCTTATCAGGAACTAGGCTAAAATCCAGCCATTATACAGTACCTGTAGGCGACATGTCATATCTTGACAACAGCTGTTCATTGCCTGAACATCTTCATGTATGCTTTCAAGTTCCTGAAAAGGAAAAAAGTAACATCAAGCAGTATATATAGTTAAAGAAATTTCTCTTCTCTTAGCCAAATCCTTATTTTTGTCCCTTTCTTGCCAAAGCACGACAAAAGATCTCATATTTATGACTGAAAATGATTAAAAAGAATAATATCTAGTATAAGAAAAGATGTAAAAAAAAAACCTAGTATATTCTTTTTAGAGGGTCTGACAATAGGAAAATGGCAAATGCTTTAAGAATATGAATACCTTTTTATTCAGAAATTCTCATACTAAGAATTTATCCTAAGAAATTAATCAGATAAGTGTGCAACAATATATGTAAGAGATGATCAACAGAGTTGCCTAAAACAAATGGAAAATGTGAAATGTTTCCAACCATACAATGGAAACCTGTGCATACATTAACAACGATAATATCTGTGTGTGTGTGTGTGTGTGTATGTAAATTAGCACAGAAAGATGTCTATATAAAGCTAAAAAAAGGCTTATAAAGCAATACATATAATACCTCCCCGTTTTTGTTTTTTTAGAAAAATACATAGATATGTGTGCAGAAGAACACAGGGAAGACTCTATGAAGGGCTATACAATAAAATACTGACAGGTTATTTCTTTGTAATAGAATCATAAGTAATATCGATAGTTCCTTCTATTTCTGACTTTATTATTTATCTTTTCTATAAGAATTATTTATAACTTTTAATTAATAAAAAAACAAGAAAATTTGAAAACCCAATAAACTAACAATAGTGCCTCCTCCTATATGGTTGAAAGTAATCACATATTAGATCACGCCAAAAATCTGGTAAGTCTCCCAATAACATTCTTTCCC